GGCGAATTTCCTGGGGGGGGGGCGACCTTTTTAAAAATTCTATCTTGCCCCCCCAAAATTTGAGTTTGCCCCTCAAATGCCCCCCCAAATTTGGAAGCCTGGCGCCGCCACTGCTTAGAGTCCTGGTCAACCACAATGCAATGCGTGCTTTTGTTTACGTTTCTGTTACGTTGTGGGCCAGAGGCAGCCATTTTGTGTGGTCTCGAAAATGGCGGCAACAATTGATAAAAGCAACGGAAAAACGGAAACAAAAGCGCGCATTGCATTGTGGTTGACCAGGACTCTTAAAACTAACTTACTTCGATATTGTCTCCTGCCACAGTGCTAAGATATTCAATAAGCTTGGACACTCTCAACAAACCATTGCCTTCAGTGTCACAGCCAGTAAACAGACTTTCTATCACTGCCTCTTCATTGATACTGTTGTCTTCTTCAGTCTGACAGAGGAATGATGAAGAGTAAATCGCTGATCTAAAACCTACACTGGATTTTGTGTAAACTGACTTGGGGAAGTTCGCATATCGATTTTGTCCATGAGAAACGTCATATGTTCGTTTCTGGAGACCCCCCCTAGAAACGTCACACATACTGTAGTTATCGATATGTCGTTCTTATAGTACACATAAAGTAATTTTCTACTATTTTCCACGGTCGGCTATTGGCGAAGCTTCTGCGAGGAATATGTCATCTTCTGCTGACAAATCTTTCTTATTTAATATATACGAACTTCAAAATTTCCAACGTTTCTCAAAACAACTTTTTTTGCATGAAATATTGATAATTTTAGCGCGTTTTTCTTGAAATTATAATAGATATAAATGTATACGTATAGAACAGGTATAATAACAAATGTATAGACTGTTGTTTGTATCCAGTTGTTTTCTTTTTATATTCTGATTCCGAAAAAACTATCGAATTTTTCCATGTTAACAGAGAAACGTCACAGCTGCACCCCCTCTCCCAAACGAACATATGACGTTTCTCGTGGAAAAAATCGATGTGAGGCTTCCCTTACAGTTGATTTTACAAAACTTTGGTGGCTCCAGTTGCGAGATTGGTTGGGAATTTGGGAACTATATAAACACGAGATCATCAAGTTTCGCATCAAATTATCCAAACTCGTGATGAAATTCCCAACCAAGTTCACAAGCAAGTTCGCAAATTGCAAACGATTTTTGCGGTAAATTTCTAAAACTAAACTTATTGACATTGTATTAAACTTATTCATTTATTCATAATATCATAATAATAATAATAATTTCAGTTTTTAAAATTATAATGGGTTTAGTAAAATACGTTTAGTTTTTAAAATTTACCGCCAAAATCGTTTGCAATTTGCGAACTTGCTTGCGAAATTGGTTCGGAATTTCCTCACGAGTTTCCATAATTTGACGTGAAACTTCCGAATTTGATTCGCCGGTTTCCAATCAACTTGACTTCCCAAATTTCCAACCAATTTCGCAACTGGAGCGGCCAAAGTTTCGTGAAATCAACTGTAATACCCATCAGTTAATTCCCTCAAACATTTCTTACAAATCCTTCAAAAATTTAGCCAAGCAAAATTCCTACTGTGATCACAGAAACTTTGATAGTGTAACCCAGCCTTAAACAACAAACTAATAGCTCAAATAAAATTGTAAACAAAATACTAAAAATAGGCATTACCGATTATTCTCTTTCACCCAATGGCCTCGTTTCCATGTTACCTTATTTAGCATGTCAGGGGCAGATAAAGATTTATATATTCCCATGTTTTCCTGAACGACTTTGTTTCTTGCTGTTCTTAGGCTCAATAACAAAATAATTTTCAATACAAAACATGAGTACATGACACGAAGGCCATTGGGTGACAAGTGTATAAAACGCGGTAAGATCTATTGTTTACAATTTAAGACACTACAAAATAATTCACACTAAAGAATAGAGTGTTTACTTTAATAAGTATTGTACAAAAGCTATAACCATTCAAATATTTTAAACACAATCGTTATGGAAAGATCCTAAAACAAATCCCTAATATTTAATACAAATACAAATTTGTAAATTTAATCAGTACATATTTCAAAGTCGAAGTCACAAAGATGTATACTTGAACGCAGCTACTGGCATCTAAGTGTTCAAAATACAATCTTTGTAGATTATAAAGTACTTAACATCACACGATCGAATACTCGTGTCGTTTTATATATGGACTTGTAATTATAAACTCAAGCTTAATAAATTTTGGTGGTGTATATTTCAAATTCGAAGTTATAAACTTTAATCACGTCTAAACATAAAACATTAAAGACACAATATTATGTATTACTCACATTAAAATCCATTTGGCTCGTCTGTATTCAGACAAAGTGATAATCATTCAGAAATATACAACCAAACTATTCTCTGACATTTCAGGCTAGTTTATTTGTGTCCTGAATTGCGAAATGGCCAATTTGTTCGACACGTTTAAGCGAGAGACTTTCGACGAATATTAAGGCGATTAAAAGCTTTCAGCGACGGCAAATACTTTCTATCGATGAACCACGCGTTTTTAGATCATAAATATGCAACTATCCTTTGTTTTCCTTGAACTTAAAGCAGTTCTTTTGTGTATTTGGACTTCTTTTCAGATTTTCTTGTTAATTTTGTTTGTGAAAAATGTGAAATGCAAATCCCCCGGCACTGAATCTCGCATGCTGATTGGTTGCTTGGTAACGAATCAGAAAGCTCGACAGGTATAGCAAGGGGGGTAGCTGTAGAAAAAAACTAGGTTTCCTAACAAAATACAAAAATGTTACTGTAAATCTAGAATTATTTAATAATTTAAGAGTTTATCATGTGACTTGGAAAATCAATAATTCTTCACTTGTAATTTAATTATTATCAATAAACTTTTTGATATAGATTTGGCCAATGAAAATTGATATCATGTTTCTCGTCCACAATTTTCAAAAATTTGGAGCGGGATTTTTTCATTTTTCATTATTTTTTGTATTTGAATTCTGCTTGTCAATAATTTCCTTGACCCAGTAAAAAACCCATAAAAATCTAAAGTATTAAAAATTGGTGTATAATTCATTTTAATTTAATACGTCCTACACTACAGTCTACAGACTACAGCATATTTCTACACATACCAGGGCTGACATGAAAATATGGCGAGTAATATCTTTAGAAAGATACGATTTGAGTTGTGCTTGCGGAATGCAGCAAAATCTGGAGATGAATTTGGTGTTTTTTAAGTCTATTTTTCAAAAATAATGAATAATGAAAAATTTTCGTGCGGCAGATAAATCCCATGCGGGCGAGGACGAGAAACATGATATCAATTTTCATTAGCCTTAGACAAATATGATAGCGATAACAAATTTATTAAAGAACGACGTTTCGAAGTCATCTTGACCTCATTTTTTGTTATAATTTGAACTTGAAAATGAGGTCAAGATGACTTCGAAACGTCGTTCTTTAATAAATTTGTTATCGCTATCATATTTGTCTAAATCTGTAATTTAATTAGTTACTAAAATTACATGATTTTTTAACGTGCAACATATTTTAAGAATAAGAGTGCTGTGGATGTCTATAGTCGGTTTCTCATGCAGATGGCAGACCAGTAACTGATAGTAATAAATGTTTCTGACAAATTAAATACTTTCTGATTAGCCTATATCATTGGAAAACGTTGCTAGGAAACAATGTTTCTTGGCTTACACACGTAAAAATTTCGCAGCTTGTCAACAAAATGTGTTTGCACTGCTTGTTCCAAGTTATTAACAAGTCTGGGACATGTTGTTACCATCTTACAACAAGATTGAAAAAGGCCAACACTCAACAGACTCGCAACAAGTTGTTCCACGAAGTCTGACATCGTCTGCACGTAACAACTTGTTAACAAGTTGATGACAACAAGCTCGTAGCAACTTGTTACGAACACGTTTTATTTTGGGGAGGCTAATCAGTTCCAGCTAAGTTGGGAATCATGTAGTTAAGATTTTCAGCCAAGTGCAAACACGGCCCGCAAAACATGACTTAACTGTAACAGAGTACCATAATAGGAGCGGTGAAAATGGAAAATTGGGGCTCGGAAATGCCATTTCCTGCACTTTCCGGAACTGAGTTGAATTGAAGAATTTGGATGAAAAAAAAAACGCTGCTGTCAACACCAGAGATTTGTGGCTTATGGACAACCTCGTTCCCAGGGCCTTTTTTGAAAATATGGATTAAACAACTGTCATAACAGAAATTCGGGACCGACTTTTGATGCAGTCTCAATCAAAACTGGGACCGACTTTTTGTGATTTTCGAGTTTGCAAGGGGCCGGTTGTTCAAAGCTGATTGTTCAAAGCATATCCATTTATTTCAAAACTTCAGAAAATAAAACTTGTATTGATTCAGACAAGATTTATGGAAAAATATATCCAGGTTTACAACTGAAATGTTGATAACATTGCTTTGACGATTTTGTTAACCTGGGATTAAAGATGTGGTACAGTCCGTATGTAAACAAAGGCTTTGTTTACATTTCGGTATCCAAAATATTTAATTTTATTCGACAACTATTTATATTTTCATGATTCTAGAGTATATAACAAATTATCAAGACACAGCAATCAAGCTTTGCAAGAACATAAAATGAAATAAAAGCCTAAATAAACTGTTTGTAAATAAAACGAGGGCTCCTTTGTGCACATGCGCAGATCGGACTGTACCGCATCTTTAAGCCAACAAACGTTTGAACAACCGGCTCCAGATTTGTGACAACTTGCGCGTTTTTATGTGTGTCTCGTGCGCCTAAGAAGAAAGAGTGCTGTAGTCTGTTTCGCAGATAAAGTACGATGCCCAGTCTTCACATTGCACATCAGAGAAGCCTCCGTCTTGCTCCCATAATGCCATGCAGTCTTCTTCGTTGACGTTGTTAGGCTCATTCGGCGCGTATCTTGCGTGACTTCCCAGACATACACACCTTCTTCTACGAGATCATTCATACCAATACGAATGTAGGTCGTCGCTATATAAAGTATAACAAAAAATATTATTATATATCAATAGTCAAAGTCGCATTTTTCTAGTGTTTTATTGGTTGAGAGCATATCACGTGAGAGTGACGAAATTAGACTGTCTCCCTCGCAACAGCGCGAGAGGGAGATAATAGAGAGGTTAACATACCCCGGTTCCGGTTTACGGGTACGAGTATCGCCATTTTGTTTACCAATTTTTGCTGATGTCAGCAATTTTATCCGTAATTTCTACCGGTTTCCCCGCGGTAAACCATGGTCTACACGTAAAAGACAAACGGGTACGGGTGTTTTCTGTTTACTAGTTTTGGGCTGTTTAAATAGTACAAATTTTCAACATCTTACCCAAATAAATAATGCACATATGCTGGTCAAAGTATTCAACAATTTATGGCGAACCTCAACAGCGAAAGTTGCCATTCCCTGACAGTGGCGTGCTGGGTACTATTTTTCTGGGGGGGGGGGGGCAGTCGGCTGGCAACTAATATGCGCCCCTATAATATTACCCTTGATAAACGAGGGCCGAAGGCACGAGCCGAGCGCCGCAGGTGCGAGGTTTGTCTAGGGGGGTCCGGGGGCATGCCCCCCAGGAAAATTTTTGAATTTAGAGTCTCTGAACTGCCATTTCCTGGACTTTGGGGGAAGATTTGACAGAAATCTGATGGTCAGGAACGGCATTACAACGTGTCGAAATTTTAAAATTGGTTAGAATTTAGTAGTAGCACTTAAATTGGGCAATGCTAACTACTTCCAGCAATTAATCTAATCCCATTTCTATTCTCTACTGATCTGAATACATTTACAACTTACAGCTCTTTTATACGATAACACACGGACCCAACGCATATGCATTTTAAGGTTTCCTTTCCTGCTAGAAGGGCGTGTTTCATCATTATCTCATTACTTACATTACTCATAATGTTTCTTGCGCAAACAACTAAATTGCGTACACAACTTTACATTATCATAACTTCAACTATCTAATTTGCGCCGCTCTCGTGATTCGTGAAGCATAATAAAGGCATAATATAAGGGTATAATACCAGCAAAAAAGGGCATAATTCCCGTGATCGCTTCGAAGCCTGATCAATATTCCGGTAATGAGACATTGCGTGTGATCACTGATCATGTATTCTATATGAACGAGTGATTTCGTGTGAGTCGTGAGGTAGCAAATACGGTTAGACAAAATAGTCTGCAATTTAATATACTCACTTTGTCGCCTATGCGCTTATTATGTTCATAAGTCTATAAATACATTTTTCCTTGGCGGAATTAGTAACTATATTTTTTCGAATGCGTTTCTTCCCACCTACTTTCAAAATTCGGCGCGGGATCGGCGCCCCCTTTTCATTTTTGCGCCCCCCAAAAATTGCCAGCTGGGGGGGCCGTGGCCCCCCGGCCCCCC